ATTATGAAGAAGTATTTATCTCTCCTTATACCCTAGCTATCCCAGACAAAGTCATAAAACCTAAATCAGATTAATATTTTGGAAATAAATCTACATTAAGAACACAATTATCCTTCCATTAATTATTATACACGCACACTTATCTGTATAGTGGGGTCGTGAGGTTCTGCTGCATCGCAGATTAAGAAAACAGGTATAACCAAATACTAGCTGGTGCTGAAGTTCAAATAATAGATTTTGATGTTGTGAACAGTACTCTTAGAATAAATAAGTTGAAATCTTAACTGTAATAGCCTTTGCCTTATTTAAGGACTAGATTGAAAAGAGGTTTGGTCTGTAGAACATTTAATCAATAATTTTGGCCAACTTAGTACATCTATTCACAATGCACTTTTGTTCTATTTGCCAAATATATGTCTTATTATTTACATTGTGATTATAATTTACAAACAAACCATAGGACTTTTGAAATTCCAATAAGTGCCATTCTGAAAACTACAATATGCTTGGTTGCATGTGACCTGGCTCAACTGTTATCATTGTTCACCATAATGTATTATTGGAAACTTTTCCTATAAGGACTCCAACTTATCCAGTAAACTGATTGGTGTCCCACTATTCCATTTAGAAATTCCAAATCAATTCTACCAATAGCAATTGATTCATAAACTGTGCTCCAAAGACCTTAAATTTCCAATTGTTGCAAAACCCAAAGTGATTCATTTAAAACTTTAAATGTAGCTTCAACCTGGAAAGACTCACACAGAGGGAAAGTAGGTTTTAGAAAGGTTATTTGACAAGAAATAATCTTTGGCACTTGGACCCCGGCAATAGACACTGCGCAGATAACCACCAGAGAGAATGATCTGCCATGGAAGAGTAATAATTTTTTTTTTTATATGAAAACCTTTTTAAATAAAGTCACTGGATACATAAATTAAGCCAGTGTGTAAATTCCAACTGTAACTGTCTTCATCTCACTTGCTCAGCCAATTACCTGGTCACACACCTCCGTCACAACCTAATGGTGCCAGTCTCATCTCCTCCACCCTTCATAAGCTTGTTCTAAGCTGCACTGTGAATGGATATAATACAAATTACATGATTCAAAACTACAAACTGATTAATTTTAGCTATAGCTTACATCACATTTTGCCCTCTAATCAACTTTTTCTGCTTTTTCTCCTTTTGTATTTCTTCTCTGGACCTTTTAAAAAGTTGAAGATTTTCTTAAAAAACTGACACAGTGCACTATTATTGTTCTTTCTTCACAGGGAAGTTTCTCAAGAGAGTGAGACACCACCATCTTCGTATTGTCATCATATTATTCAGTGGACATCACGGGCTCACATTTAATGAAATCTCCAACAGAAAGCATAGACTCTCATCTGTTTCTTTACCTCGCTGAAATAAAATGATGCTCCCATCACAAAGTACAGTGCATACAGTAGAGAAAAATGTGATTATTACGTCTATATAAACTATACAACAATATGGTAGGTGGAAGCGGATGTTACCATCACTACAAACATTCCACAGTTGTTGGACAGTCCTTGTTTAGGCAATCCCTGTGTTGTTTACGAGAAAATTCAAAAAGGGGGGAAGAAAATGAATGTGTCATTACTACAACAATCAAATTGAGGTAAAGAACAACAGCCTTACCCATAATACTGATTATAAACATTTACAGCAGGAATGGTTGGAAATAAGCACCACAAGTGTCCCATCATAATGTCTCACTTTAACATCATTGCCAACAAATTCTGTCCATAGTCCAAATGACATCTGAAGACAGACTTTTCTGATACAAAGTTTTTAAGTTAAAAATGAGCAAGGGCATATTTCACAACATAAAAATGTTGTGAAATATTTGTATACATGTTTATAATAAAAGTTATAAACATGTATGAGAATGCAAGACAACTTATTCCTATAAAACTTTGTTTTGATGTGGTTTTCATCTGTGAAGCCAGTGATGGAAGCAAGGAAGAAAATCTCCCTATGCTTAGGCTTCAGAATTTGAAAAAATATGTCACACTGATGGTGAACACTATCGCAGAGTAATGAATGAATTAGACAAACGTCAAGAAATGCAGTAAATATGAAAGGCAATATCAAACATGTATTGTACTAATGCATAGTGTCCAATGTCCAGGATGCCACACAGGAATCAGAACCCAGAGTCTGTGTTGCATGGACAAAAGTGTAATGATGTACTGCATCCTGGATGTTGCCTGGATGTTGGTAGCTGCTGGGCTGATGCACAGCTGGACACCATATGGAAAAGTATTAGACTTTCCAGAAATTTAACATTGGTGTACAAAAACATATTTAAAAAAAGATTAACCTTTCAAAATAAAAGGCAAACACTGGTAAATATGTAAAAAATATTTTATCATTTTCAAGTGTAGTTTTACATACCATTATGTTGAACCATAGCAGTTTTTGCTCTATGGTTCAGTATCTTGTACGACTCTTTGGCCCTGTATGAGCAAAGGAAGCAGAAATATGTATCGTTCATGCAGTACAGAAGAATCTTCTCTCCATGTCGAATGTTGCAAATACATATGTGGATCTGTATAATAAGAATAAAAAACAAAGTTTGAGCATAAAAGATATTTCTCAATTGTACATGTTATCTACTTTTTGATTTTCATCTAATGATGCCCTGGAGGAAAATAATTAGCTATGCTTCATGCTAAAATTAGCCGAATTACGAATTTTACTAGTTTACTGCTGTTAATTATATTTTCGCCTTAATCTAGAAAAGCATATTGATTTACCATGTGAAAAAAAGTTTTAAGAAGGTAGAAAATACCTTTTGCTGACTTTGTGGGTTTAGTATTGTGGATCATTTGCCGAACATCAGTGGAAGAACCTCTCAAACTTCTTTCAATGACCTCTTAGCCCCGCTTCTTTAAGGTCTTTATACAAGTGATTGTGAAAATAGCGCCCTCTTCATTTCCGGAATGCAATAGTACCATTTCCAAACAAGGTATGGGACTGACAGTGGTGTGTACCTGCCCCTCTCTGTTTGCTGTAGCGAGTTCCTTCTCCATCTAAAGGTTGCTACATTCCAACCCCGTGATTTAGCTTGTCTAAATGATTTTCATCAGACAGCTGTCCTTTTCAGTTTTCTGCTGTTGACGTTTATTAACATGTGATAAACCAACTTCCTGCATGTGAAACATCTCCAGACTATACAGTTTGTCTCTACAGAACTGCCTGTTGCTGTTTGCTTGTCCTGCTCAGTTTAAAGCAGTAATGTATTCATTAAACAGGTGAAAACAGTAAGGAGTGTATTGGTTTCTTCCCATCTAAACTTAAATTCCTGACTTTTGCAGATCAGTTGTGAGGTGTTAGCATGCCTCATCTCCTCTCTGTCTTTGTTCACTCTTAAAGCCATTGCATTGTGGGTAGCACGGACTTGATTCTTTATTCCTCAGTCAGACTTAGACACACCTTGAAATGTGACAAGCAATTCAAACTGCGGAGAAGCCGTGTGGCAGCTGCATCAGTTTTAGACCTGGGCCCTGTGGCAACATATGACATAAATTATGATCATGTACACTTTTTCAGAGTTTCTTACAAATTACAAGTCTGTTTTAGTATTGGCAGCAAATCTGAATAGCAACCTTCAGCAGCTGACCTTATGTCAAACGACTCATGTCTGACATTTTACTTCAAATATTTGTCAGCCCTCCTGTTATCTTGGGGCATGCTCTATCCCAGTCTCTTGCAGTCTGAATGAACTGCAGTGATGACTGGACATGTCATAGAACAAAAGTTTCCTTTTAAAGAGCCTCTTCCATTTGATGATCCCTCTGATTCTTTAAGCACCTCACTAAGAGTGAGAATTGTAACATTTGTGTCTCTTTCACTGAGCTACAGCCTCTGAGCTACAGCCTCTGCAACAAAGAGTGTGATTGCCCTACCTGTGTATAGTGCATTCACAAATGTGTTTCTTCTGAAAATAAAACTATTTTGGAATGGCCCGGCCAGAGTCCAAGCTTGACTCTAACCAAAACTTGACACCCGTTGGTTTGAGTCCTTCTCCCCCTAATCTTTCTATGTACAAATATGTTCAGTTCTTCAGCCTGCTTGATGTTGTTGACACATGTAGAGGCAACAAGTTTCACCAAAAAACTTGGTGAAACTTGTTGAGGATTCTATTCAACATATGGACATTTTTCAACCACAAATCTATGTCCAAGTGACATTTCTGGTTTTTATTTAGGTCTGTGTCTCTAACATCAAGCAGCTCAACATTGTTTCTTCTCCTGCAGCCTTCAGTCGCTCTGCACCGGACTTAGGTCACAGAAACTCACAGCTGCTTGAGTTCCTGTTACCTAGGAACTCTTGCATCCGACAGAAAGCAAGGGCCATCTAACCTTTATCAATATTTGTCTGATAATGACCTGAGTTATTACATCAAATGAAAATGATTTTTAAGATTCATTATGTAAGGCAACATTTAAAAACCAGTTTTTGGTTTCCAGGTGAAAGTTTGCTGTGCCTTTAGCTATGTAGCAGCACTAGTTAAGAAGCCCTGAGCACAGGGAAGGTAATGAGTGACAGCAGTGTGGGAACAACAGCTTTTTTCCCACCATTATTCCTACAATAAAATATGTGTATGAAAAGATTCATGAGAAGATTTAAGAGTTTCTAAAATGTCCGTGTTTAAGGCATGTCAAGTGAGGCATGTATGACTGTGCCTCGGAGGGTATAGAATGATTGGAAGATTGTTTGTTTGATTCCTCCTGTCACTTGTCTATGAGCCCTAGGTAAATGCCAAGTTGCCTACCACACAATGTGTTAAGTTGTGCATATTGTTGACTGTGGTTTTAGTGTAACGTTCTATATAGGTTTAGTCATTTCACCTTGTAAATGTCTGCATCTTACAATGGACTTCCCGAAGTGGCAGTAGGATCATTCATGCATACATTTTTTGTATTAGTGTGCACTGTAATAACCTTTGGTCTCCCCTCTTTCTGTTTCAGCAAGATTACACTTTGATAGTGGAAGCTTGGGATAAGGACAACGGCACACATGGCAGTGGTAAGAGTCTTCCTGTTCTGATCAACATGTTCTAAGTTTTCAAATTGAAGAATTTAAGATACAATGGAAAAAAAACAGCAGAAGCAGCCATGTGATGTTACCTTGGTTTATCAAATGTGAGATTCTACATAGAACTGGAAAGCTTGATAATTTTCCCATTTGTCTTATCACACAGTCAAAAAAGTATTGGTAAGGACTGAAAGAGTATATTTGTTGCTCCCATCAATCTGGAAAGAGTCAAATCAAATCTTGGGTGGTTTTTAACAATGTTAAATATGAAGACCTGAAAGTAACATGGTGTACTTTATTTTTTGACAGTGGCTGTAGATATTGTAACTAAATATATTTGTTATTCTTTCTGTAGAAAAACTCGAGGTAGAGGAATTTCTGTTACTTAAAAATTACTTAGTGTGTTTTTAGTGCACCTGCAGCTTGCACATGCAATTGTTCTTTTTGAGTTTGTATCCTGTTTACAAAACCCCTCTGATCTCAATTTTCCACCTGAGCTGGGAAAAGAATGGTTAATGGAGGGATGTGATCCATGTGATTAGTCAAAACTGTAGTAGGTGTTTGCTAACTCTTCCATAAAAAATTTAGGAACCAGGGTGCCTAATATTTCTGACTTTTCTGAGGCAGCTTCAGTAATACAATTTAAATTGCTTTTTGAAATCATATGAGCCACCTTATCACTTCTAAGCATTTATCAGCTAGTTTCAGAAAAACACTATTGCTTTTAAACTCATTTTCAGACTTAATTCTTATTTTTAGGAATTTCTAACCAATTGACAAATAAATTAAAGATTATAGCTGTGATTAATCACAATCAATCACTTTGCTTAACTTCATCAGTTTAAACAATAATGTTGAAAAAAATCTTGTACTGTCACAAATTAAACTTTGTCTTAAGATGATCAGTTCTCCAGGTTTTTATATTCAGGAAGGCTTGAAAGATTGTTGTTTCAAACTTTAATTAAGAAATGTTAACTACAGGCTAGATCCTTGCAGTATGTACATACTAGCTTGGTTTTACCCAGATTGTCTTTTAAAGCAAAATTTGCAGCTGAGACAAAAGTTTGACTCTCCTCACTCATCTTTTCACTCGTGCTTGCGACTTTACATTGTTAACCACAGTGCAAGCGGGTGCAACACACTGCTACACGTTACTAGATAACCCTCCATGGAAGAGATGCTTTAGGGTCAAAATAAATAATGGCATTGATTTCTGTTAAATAATGTCAACAAGTTAAGCTTTTTAGAGTAACCACTACTGCCATTTCACTGAGAAATATTTTTCTCTTGCATTATTTGTTGCTTCTTTTTGAACATTTGCGCTGACTGAATTGGGCAAGAAGGCTTTCATTCACTCTGTTGCCTCTTCATGGAACTTGTTACAAGAAACTTTCAGATTGACTGAACTCATCTCATTTAGTGCTTTTAAATCAGTTCTTGAAGCAGATTCTATGACGTACTTGTTTTTGATAGCTTGACTGTCATGATCTTACTTTTCGTTGCTTCATTTCTTGATTCTCATTTGTATTTAGCCTCATCTGTGCTCCCTGCTGGTCATGAGATCCTCTGTTTTGTTTGCCTGCTTTGGCTGTTCAGATTAGGTTTGCCTAGTTACTTTTGAACCTGTTTTCACTTCATCCTGATTCTTACTGTGTCACCTCATCATTCTCCCACCCATCATGACATTGACATTTTATTTTAACTGTTTATTTTTCTGTACTGTATTTGTTTCTGCCTCTTGGCCAGGACTCCTTTGAAAAGACATTTTTGAAGTCAGTGGGGTTTTTTTGTTCTTGTAATATAAATGTCAAAATAAAGTTTTTTTTTGATTATCTGTAATGCAAAATCTTCAATCCTTAAGCTGAACTGGGTAACTGCCATAAAAATACATTCCTAGTGAATTACATTCAAAGAAATGACTTGTTCAATTTAATTCTATATACAGTTATGTTCAAAATCTTTACAAAACTGAGTTATGTTAAGTATATAAATGGACCTTTACTGTATTTAGTAAAACTTAGCAAAAATACTTTGCAGTTCCAACTTCACTGACTGAAGTTAGTGTGGGAATTATTGAATTTTGCTTTACTTGTCCAGATTTAATAGATATAGCAATAGTAATCTTAGCTTGAATTAATGTCAACATTTTCCACAGCATAGTTTTGTGGAGAAAACATTTACTACCAATTAAACAAAGCATCTGGTAAAGTATATTAGTATTGTCCTTCCTGTAGATCAAGAACCAACTACCGGAAGACATTTTTGAGGCTTTATTTTGTTAACTTTAAAACTGTTCATGATGAGTTCCTAGGATTTTTCTCTATATTTTCAACTTCTCAGTTACAAGCCATGATTACTTTTGCATCAAAAATATCTTCATAAAAACAGTCATACCATTAAAGCTTCTTCAGAGTTAGCTTCAGAGATGGCCAGACAGTGTGAGATTACCAACCATTTAGCATAGTTAGCTTACCTACAGATGACTGTTCGCCTCCTTTTCACTGACATTTAATGAATTAAGGAAAATAATTACCAACATATTCATATATTGAACTTGTCCCTGTACCTTTTACCTCACTTAACAACAAATGAATCAGTCAGCAGCAGCTCTAAGCCACGTCTCTCTTGACCTGTTCTCTCCTAAGTGAAATTAAAGCTGAAGATTTTTTTTACATATTTGTTTTAACTGTCATTATATTGTGACAGTATGGTATGAGAGATAATCTGTTAAAAATCCTTTTCCTCTACTTTCACCCAGTGCTCTCTAGAAACAACTATTCAGAGACCGGAGAGGTTTAGTGGTGTCAATCACAATCTCATGTGGCTGCTCATCCCTATGCTGTACCTAGTGCAGCCTGTTGTGAATGCTCAGTCTAGTTAGTATAAATACCAATGACAGCAGATTAAAATTTTTCCTGTAATAAGTTGTTTTTCTACCATTAGCACATTTAGCAGTGAGTGAACGAGCTTGATTGACAGTGCAAAGACCCTCCTACTAGTTCTAATTGGTTCTTTTGGTCGGAACGTTGGATTACTTTAGGCAGTAATCATAGTTCAGGGAGGAGGTTGAGCAGATTGATTGTTTTCACAAATTATCTGTCTCATAACAAACTGGCACGACATGGCGACAGCTTTAACAAATGTGGAGAAAGCATATTTTTTATTGAAGTTATATACTTCAGCTTGAATAAAATGCAACTACATTGCATTTTTTGAGAAGTCTGGATTGCTTAATGTATATTTTGCATGTTGCCTGTGACTGGTGCTCATGGGGAGAGACATTTCAGTAAGCTAAAACTAATAGAAAACATTTAAGCAATCTACTTGCAAACTGTATGTGGACTGTTGCACATAAAATTCATGAGCAGTAAATATTGTGCTAGTTATCAGTATCGGACCAAAGAAAACAAGGCCTTTAAAATTGTGACTCTTTTGATAGGTCAGACTCAAAAAATTGTAACTTGCTGCATGGGGGAGCCCAATAAAATTTTTTGTCATGAGGTCCAAGATTCCTGGCGGTGTCCCTGCTTCCGGCTACCAGACATAGCAGTATTTCACTGTCATTGTAGGGTTTTTTCCAAGTCTATATTCATAGTAGAAGTTAGTTCTCTTTTTTTCAGCTATAATACAATACTTAGAAAAACTTGTTTATGGACACGCCATCTGCTATCAGAGAATTGCTCTGTACAGAGGATTGTAATTATGAGTTTAATCACAGGGAGCAACAGGAACAGAGTGCTAAGTTTTGTAACATGAGGTAGCAGCGGTGCTAACGGCTTGTTTCTCCGTGACTGAAGAATGTACAGTAATAAAGAAGGGAAAAGCAGAGAAGTTGGTCAGAGTTTTGAGCTGCTGTTTTGCGCCGACAGTGTAAAACACCAGAACTATATAATATTAGCTTGGTGTAATGTAAATTTTATTTTTCGTTTGAATTTAAAAAAAATAAAAAATAAAGTTTATGATTTGACTCTTTATCATTATGTTTGGGCCAAAAATAATTTTTTATACGACAAAATAAAATGTCTAGGTTTATTTAGCCCATTACATCCAGAACCTTGAGGTTCTCTGTTGCTGAGTGTCTCTACAAATCAGTGAAGAAATGGCCACAGCTGCTGTGCACCAGACCATAATACAGAGAATCTCCCCACTTTACTAGAACCGAACCAAATCACACATTAACCCGGTATAGAGAGTTACTTGCCACTGGAAAGTGTCTGCCCTTGTGGAGCTCGGGTAACTGTTGTGCTGTTCGTGGCTATACTTTAATAATCAGACCAAGTTCAGTTTGTGGCTGCAGCAAATGTGTTTTGAATATTCTCCCAAAACAACGTAGTTTTCATCGCCTACCCAGGGATAAGGAAACAGAAAAGATTTGGTTAAAAATTCTAAACTTGAAGAGAGAACCCAAAATGCTTTATGTGTGCTCATTTCATTGTGTGGAAAAAAAGCCAATGGAAGAAACCCGATCTGCATCCAAAGGAACTGAGTCAGCGAAGTCGCTACATATGTGGGTTATTTCTTCAAGTCACCATCCTTCCCTGCAATAGCTGTAGGTAACAGTAAAAGAATATTGCCACATTTAAGCTGGTATTTTATAGCCTAAAATCACTGTGAAAAGCCAGTTAGCAAGTTGCTAATGTAAACAAATGGCGGTTCCGATTTTGCGGTGGAAGTCACACCCATAAATCATGCAAACTTTCATGGGGGCTAGGAATAAGGTGGATAAATAAAATGACCTTACTTCAATTTTTTTTTGAGTGTATGCTGCAGTGACTGCTGATTCTTTCAAATGGTTATGTGAAACAGTTTTGTGTATAAACAAAAATGTAAATGTTTTTACTCAAGAAATCTAGCTAAAATCTCTTCTTGTTCTCAGGAACTCGATGTGATATATTTTTGAGCTGGATGTATAATAGAAGCCTTTAGATCAGGATTTCAGAGATCAGAGAGAAAGCCAGGAGGCTTGAACTGCTTCTCATATGAATGAGTGA